TTGAATTATTAGCTGTTTTCCAAGAAGTTAACATGGAGCACAGCAGATTCTCATCTGATGTTAATCAGTTTCTCTGTTTAAAATTGAATTGAACTGTGCTGATTTGCATCAAAGGATGGGGAAGAGACCCAGCGAGGAAGGATACTTCTGTAAATGACAGAGGCACCTCAGTGCTCCAGAAGACCAGGAGACTTTACCAGTCTACGGCCATGCACCTATTTCCAAAGAAAATTTGAATGACCATTAAGTGGAATAAATGAAAAATCATATACTTCATCAGTACTGGCTTGTGGATGTCTTCAGTCTTCCTAAAAGAATCAGCTACTGACTTCTCTTTCTGTAGTTACATATGCCTACAAAACCTTCAGAGGGAAAAATCGAAGACAGATAAGAATGAAAAATGCAAAAGGAACTTAAAATAATCCATTCTGCCAGAGGAAGTATGGAAATAACTCCAAATACGAGCTTGCATATCTCCCAGGGCATAATGTTTTAAAAAGGGAATGAATTGGTGTGAAGAGAGAGCAGCTTTAGGGACTTTGTAGCCAAACTGCTCTGCTCAAATTTCAAGAAATGTCTGACCAGGTCTTGCAGCGTGCAAGACACCGGAACACGATACAAACTGTACAAGGCATCAAGTTGCTTAAAAGACACCTTTCCCTTGGCTAGTAGGTCCGCAACAGTGAGATGTTGCTCATCTGCAAGTGATGAAAAGCCAGGGCTCAACAATTGTGTTCTCTGAGTTCACATGTCCCAGAAACACATTGCTTTTCCAAGACAAGCACATTGCTGGCTTCATCCTGCTGCCTATCAACAGCTACTCAAATCTGTACAGTGTCAAGCCACATGCAAATGAGGTTTTTCTTGTCAGGAAAACACAGGGGTGTTTGGTGAGGTAACCTGATGACTGCTACACTCATTGCATTTGTTTAAATGGGACAGGACTGCCATAGCACTGTGCAGAATTAGGCTTTGTAGCAACTTCAGACAATGTGGTAGATAGTTTTCATTTAACTAGAAGAGAACTTCATAAATTCAAAGTTTTTATTTTATTAACCCAAACTTTATTTCTCCCAATTATTTTTTAACAAGAATCTCAGTATTGTTATACTCCATATGGACAAGACAAAAATCCTGTCCCATAGACAGATGGAGCAAATGAAGGAGAAATTATTATAAATTCAAATTAAATTATTTAACTGGAGGCTTGCTCATGGTTCTAGATTCTTGATTTTCTAGTCTGTGAAGTGTCTTTCTCTCATATGTGATAGCTCTTATCATAAGGCAGTGGCCTCTTATTGCATTTCTTACTTCTTTATCATGTATATCTTATCATGAGGAGTATAGTCTATCATTTTCCTGCCAAAGTGGAATGTGGAGTGGTACAGTTTCTGTACTTTCTTTCCTGTTATAGTTAATTTTTCTCTTTATTTTGGATAATTCCAGAAGAATTTTATATTGTGGAGGACTATATTGATTCCACTACTGCATTGTTTTCATTTGTATCATTTATATTTGTTGAGTGATAAATTTAATATCATCTGAGTGATACTTCCCACTGCTGAAGTTTAAAAGGTCTGTTTGTGAAGACTGATAAAAATGGCAAAGCACAGGACTGTTTCAGGTCATATATTGACTTCTCTTCACAAACTTCATGTTGAATTAATACTGGACAAGAAGCCACAGCAATGCTATTGTAAAAGATTCATATTGTTCTGTATTTTTGGAAGAGATCAATGACATGGTGGTAAAGGATATGAAGGAAGACACTTTGTTATCTATGTCCTCCTTTAAATGTTATGCCAGGTGATAAGTTTTCCTTTTATTTCTGTCAGCCAAATTCCACTGCTCATGTAATGATTTGTATTGTGGGTTTTTTCAGTTGCAATTAAAATCTCTAAACCTGTTAGTCTGGTGGCAGCATTTCAGTTAATTTAGCTGACTTTTTACGGAACTGCTGGGACAAAATTAAATACAGGCTTGCCTTTATTTTTCTAGGCATTGTTTTTAAAGTTAGCAAAGGCTTAACAAATTCCCCAAAGCCTTCCTGGATGAGGTGTAAACTCTGAGTTCTAAAGCTTCCCTGGAGTGATTTTCAGTGTTTCATCCCTACCCTGTGCAGACTCCTGGCCCCAGCCTGCATCAGCCATGCCCTGGTTTTATAAAAAATGATTAATTATTTTTCTGTTGCCCTGGGCCCAGCCAAGCAGTGTGTAACCGATGCTGTAGCTTGCTAATAGAGTAGTGGTAAATGTGACCTTGCCTTTTAATATTTTTCTTCTTAGCCCACACGTCGTGTAATAAAACATGGGATTTCCAGTAGTTATTGGATGACAAGGGCTGCTAGAGGAAAATTGCAGTTCCAAGTGCCTTCCCCTTTTCCTCCTCCTCATCCTGAGAGATGTTCCTGGATAATACAATATCTTGTGTACTCTTACATCATGTTTAACTGTAGTAGGTAATTTCAGAGCTGAATAAAGCAATTTATAATTGTCACATGGAGGAGAAAACAGTCTTAACACTTTTCTTCTTCTCATGTTGTTCATTTTGGCAAGAAGACTAGGGAACTCTTGTCCTGGCAGTATAATAAAGATGGGAACACTGCTCTTAAGAAATCCCAATTATGCTCTGGATTTATTACATAATGACCTTTTCTGCTAGGTTGTTTTTTGGTGGGGTGGTGGGTTTTTTGTTTGTTTTTTATAGGGGTGGGAGCACTTACTTGCTTTTTAGGTTGATGGCCTATTTCTTAGGTCTGTTTCAATCATTTCCATGATATGGTTTTTTTTGACTGTGGCCTCATTGCACTGGCACATTAGCAACATTGTATTTTGAAGTGAGATGCAGAACAGAAGACTGCATCATCTTTAGCCACTCTTTTTGCCTCTCAGGGGGAGAGAAGGCAAAATTTCTTCACCCATGTGATTCACTGCAGTTTCCACTACCATTTTCCAAAGATCCCACCTCATCAGAAGCAGGTCTTCACCAGGTGGTTGGGAGCAAGATGCTTAAAGATGGTTTCATGACAAAGCTATCCAGAAGTCATTAACTATGTACATATGCAAAATTCTTGTATCAAAATATACACAAAAATATACTTTATATCTAAATAACTCAAATTGAAAGAAGAGAAGAAGACATCATACCCGCTCCAGGGCTGTGATTACAACTAGAAGCTGCATATAACACAGCAGATATAGAATTATCCAATATATATTAGGTCAGGCTGAAGGCTGGCCTTTTTAAGTGGTACATGGCAAAGATCAAAGAGATGTTAGGCGCATCCAAGGAAGGTAACCGTGGTCATACACCCATCATCCCGACTCCCTCCATCTGGGGAAATCTCTAGCACAGTTTCAGGTGGACAGTTGGGAGTGGTTTGTTTTGTAGGTCATCAGCACAACATGGACACTCTGGTTGCCCTCGCTTTTGCCAATGAGCAGCCTTTGAGCTGCAACCTCATGCCCTATATCAATGCTTCCTGAAGAGAGGATGCCCAGAGCTCACTCCTCCTTGTCAGAAGACCCTCAGTCACCCAGCTGTTAGCTGCGAGTCTGAGCTGCAACGTGGAGTCCCTGCAGACAGCCTGCATTTGCAGATCCTTTATTGACTGCACAATCCCCTTCTGAGAACTTCCAGGTGCATTTCTGATAAACTCTTTTTTATTTAGTATTAAAACTGCTTTCAGACAACCTTTAATAATAAAGCCATGAGGTAGAACTCTCTTACTTTTTCCCCTATCTTTTTTACTGTCATGTTTATGTATGAAGCAAATTATAATATTCAATAACTTTACAATCCTATGAGTTTTTATAAATATTTATAATCGTTGCACTCTCTTTAAAATTTCCCATGCATTAGAAATGCGAGAGACTGTAAATTAAATTTATATTTCATGTTTGAATATTGGATGTCAGTATACTCTGAAGTTATTTGGACTAAAGCAAGTGAAATAAACAACCTAATACAAATTCAGTGATTTGCCTTGACATCGTTTCTTGATTCATTGACAGTTTATACAAATACAGAAAAAAGATGACACACACTTCAAATTGTTTGGGAAAGTTAACAATCAGGTCAAAATTGTAATTTGCAAAGCTAATAAACTGATGGTAAGCATAGAGCAATATCAGATTTTGAGGTTATTTCTTTTCCTTTTTTTCCCATTTGGCTTCTGTTGCTTATTTCCTCGCATTATGGATCTCTTTCCTCTGTATCTTGTAAGTAACCAAGTCACATAGGTACTGGGAACACAGTATGTGTTTATTTCCATCCAAGACTCTCTCTCATATGAATCATATTTCATTTGCTTCAATTTTCTGTCCATGAAAACAGAAATTAAAAGATACCCTGAACAGTCTTCAAGAAGTGTCCTAGCTACCGCTATCTCACATTAATTAAAATTGTAGTCAATACAAATAACAGAAAAGAGAAATAAAGCAAAGCATAATTTGCGATGCTTAAACTATGCCCTCATTTCCCTTCTGTTTTTTACTTATTTTAATATTGTCCTCAAAATAATACTGATAAGTATTTTCAAATAAAGCAATGGAAAAACCTTTCCAGTTATGCAGGTTCTTCAGTTTCTTCTTGACAGGTCCTCACAATCAGCAATCAAGTTAGAAAGTGGCAATTTTGTTTCTTTGTTATTGTCACTACCTATTTCTTTTAAACAAAATGAATTTGCTTGGCCAAGAGATATGCAGGATGCAGGACTCATAATGACCAGAAGTGTAATCAAGGACTCTGAAAAAAAGGCTAGGAATGTAGAAAATTTAGGTAGGTTAAAGATTTTAAAGAAAGAATTGGACATTAGTCTGGTTTAACTTCCTCACTACAGAAGTCAAAGCATTTCACACACTTTGCCTCATACTGATACACAGTTTTAGTCTGATTTAAAGCAGCCTTTCAGAAGGCATCCAGTCCTGATGTGGAGGCATCTAGAAATGGAGAAACCACTTGTTTTGTGAGATACCCTTTCTTTTCCAAAATGTTCAGAGAATTTCAGTTGAAATTTGTCTAGTTTGGCTATTGTTTTTTTAATTATGCTCTTCTCTTAGGAGATTAGCATCTTTAATATACTATTGTTTTATTTCTGTGATGGTAATCAAGTTGTGTCTCTTCCTTCTCTGTTAGGGACTGAACAGGCTGGCCTCTGAAGCACAGCCAAGGGCTGAAATGCAGAGCGTGAAGCTGACACAGAGTTGACACCAAGAAGGTGAGTGGAAATAGAATGACAGCCACATGGTGCATGGGTGCCACGCAGGGAGTGGGGGAAGTGGTCACAAAACCTGGACTGGTTAATCCCGGGTCTGGGGAAACAGAAAATCAACTGACTGTATCCCTGCGAGGCACATGTGCGGTGTTTGATTCACAGCTCTTTTTCTGCAGAAGAGGCAAGAACTGTAGCTTCTAGGTGATGCTCAGAGTTATGAATTGATTAACCCTGGAGGGAAGTCCTTATGGTAGTTGCCAAGTACCATCAATCTTGCTTGCCTCATTGGTAAGTAATGGGAAAGTGGAATAGACAAAATGGGAGTAATTAAGGTAAAATGTTGGGGAATTTAATAGAAAAGTACTATGTATTTCAGGAGCACAGTTGCTGCTACCTAACAGGCACTAGTAATTATAAGATTGTGAGAGGCTAAAAGTGATCCTTAATCACTTGTCCCGTAAGAACACTTACGGATATTAAAGAAATGACCCCAGTTAGTAAGGGAAACACCACACAAAAATCAGCAGAGTCAAAAAGAGAGTTTAAATTTATTTGGCTATCAGTAGCATGGCTGGAAAAAGGTAGTTAAGTATGAGTTACAGTTCCATTCTACGTACTACAGCCTGTAGCAGTGGATATTTTAATAAACTTCACTAGGAAGAAAATAAAATGGGTTCTGCGAAAATACTTGAGGTGTTTTGAAGATACTGGAATCCAAGGAAATATATTTTATGGCAAGCATCCCTATAATGCAGAGAAGTAGGGGACATGTAAGTACATAAAGAATATAGAACAGGCTTGGGAAAATAAGTGCTGGTGAATTTAAGCAAACTGTGTGCCTTGAAATGCAGAACAACCAAAGTATATTTCTTCAGTACAACAGTGAGTAGTAGCATACATTTATTAGCTGCAGAGTAACTGAACTCCCTGTCGCATTAAATGCAAAACCCCTGAAGGAATAAAATGTTTTGATTGAAAAGAAATGGAGCCTTAACACAGTGCAGTGAAGCCCATTAACAACCAGTTTGCTCTTAAATTGCCTGTGGAGGTGCTGCATATGTGTCCGTGCTGCCCCAGCAGGCAGTGGCCACACAGGCGGAGGAAGCTGGTGGATGGGGTGGGTGACAGGAGGGGAGGGGGTGCCATGAGGGGTGGCAGGGGAAAGGCTGCAAAGAGGAGGTGTCACCTCACACTCCAAAGTCACTGATGGCACCACTTGCTGCTGCTGTCACAGGCAACACTGCAGCATGGGAAGATTAACCATTTTTAAGCACAGCAGCCTTAGAATTGCGGTAGGTCCAAGACTGTCTGGCAAAAAAATCTTTCTTAGGGCTCTTTTGCTGCTACTGCACTAGACACCTCCTTGCTTGGCTTAAGTCTCAAACCAGCCTCAAGTAAAGGGTGTTTCTACTTACTGATAAAAACTTTTGTGTAGCACTCCATAGGCAAATAGTAAAAGTACTTCTCAATGAAGCAGACTGAATACCATAATGATATCTGACAAATAAATGCACTAAATGGAGGTAGGTATTTCTCTAGCCTCTGAAATTAAGTTAATCAATTTACACAGGTTGTTGAATGTGAAGCAAGAGCAAGGCAAACCATGGCAAGGCTGTGGGCAGTTCTTCAGCTCTTGAGCAGCACAGCAATGTTCTAGGAACTTTAACTCCTGGAAATTATGGAGAAGAGCACTCTTCATCAGCTGTTCTCCCAACTAAGTCCTTAACAACATTAACTGAACTATGCATAGCTAGACACTGATTATGCACTTTTGTTCCTAGGAGACCACATTTCAAAAGCTGTGTATTGTTCTCAGGGAGAGAATTCCTCAGGTAACCACTTCGTATCTTTACCCATCTCTTCCCCCTGTAAACTTGAGCAACTTCAATGACAGTTTTTATTGCTGTTGTTTCCATGAGGGAGCTCATCTTACTGCTCTGGTGACCTGGAGGATCACCTTGTCTATGCTGTAGGAAATAATTCTGCTGCAGTATTTCTACAAGATCCATGTGAACCTTTATAGGAGGAAAATGTTTTATTTTAAAAGAAATCTTACTTCACTTGCATTTTTCTGCTCTGCTTCTCATAAGTACCAGGGCAGGTGTCTCCAAGTGGACATCAACTCCAGATCCTTGCTGTACTGCCTGGGCTGGGGAGGATGGCTGAGCTTGGAAGTGTCCTTTGTGTCCTTTAGGAATTGCTCATGGTTTCTGCCTCTCCTTCCTATCCCACCTCTGTGAGTGCATAGGATTTTCATCCTTTCTCTGGGCAACCAAGGGCTCCAGTCTCTTCTTTATCTTCCTACCCTGGTAAGAACCCATACTGGTTTGAATAACTTAATTTGGGTGTAGGCTGTCCCTGGATTTCTAGTTGTCCTGAGAAACTGTAAATAGCTGTCCTGGGGTGTCCATGAACTGCCAATGTAGGTGACACCAACACGCACCACTCTTATGGTCCTTCTTCTGTTCCTTCTGGTGCTCCACATCCAGACCTCCACATACAGTTTCTGTTCATGCCAATAATAATGTTTCTGTCACAGTTCTTTAAAATACTGAGCAAAGCTCTTCAATGACTCAAGTCCTCACTGGTACTACTCAGCATTATTATGAAGTGAAATGAAAGCTGATCCAATTTTACCTGTCCTTGCAATTCCTAATAGTTCAGAATATATAATTCAGCATCTGCCTTTGCAAAACAATTCAAGTTATCAACAATTTGAAATGAAGAATACTTTAGGAAAAATAATAAGCTGCAATGAATATATATAGTGAGAAGGAGCAGAAAATATCTGGGTTTGATGAACTACTTAATTTACATCTTTGTTCTGTTACATGTTACAGTGATTCTGCAAAATATCTTCAGTTTGATTATTCTTACCTCAAGCAGATGGATGTGTCTCCACAGGGTTTTTAGAGCTGTTTGCTTTTGTTGTTAATTTTTAAACAGAAATTAACGTGGTTTTCTCACCCAGAAGAAAAATGCACTGCAGTGCGTAACTGGTACACATGTTTAACTACCCAAACAAAACTCAAAGAGCAGAAGCTGCAGCCTGGCTCAGGGATTTTTATGTAAATATAATGTTGATACATAAAGGAAAATGAACTCAAACTTTCAAAGGTCCATGTGTTAAACAAATTAAATAGACTCACTAGTTTAACAGTATTAAAATCTGGTTAGTAAAGAGTATTCAGATGGAGTGTTTTAGTTTAAATGTTATCATTCGCATATACATTTACATACTTACAGCTGCTCTGCTTGTATTTCTTCTTGCCATGTTCCTGTGCTATAACAGAAAATGGTTTCTGAAATGTAATACTATACAACCTCTATAGTCAGAGCTGAATCTTCTTTCAGTAGTACTCTAGGATGTTTGACATTAATTTAGAATGCAATATCATTTCCAAGGAGTTATGAATTAATTCTGAAAAAAATTAAATGACCTTCAGATACATATTGTATAAATGGTTCTCACTCATCTGTATTCAAAACAAGACTTTTAAAAGCGTCTCCTTGTAGTTCACATCTTCAAGTAGGATCTCAGGGAAAAATAATAGCATTCAAAATTGCCGTTACTCAACTAGATGCAAAATTTCAGAAATGTCTACCTCTTTAAACAAGTCATCTTACATTTGAAATTTATTTTCAACTTCCCAGGTGGTTATCTTTGTCAGTGTTTCAGGAAGCAAAATTATATATGCAAACCAATGGGCACTGGGTAATTGAGGCCTTCCATAAAGACAAATTACTGTGTATGTAAATATCGCAGCAGTGCCAATATAAGTGAAAGTGTGCTGAAAAGCATTTTTATTGCATGCCAGACAGTCTCAGATAATTGTTTTCTATGAATTTGTAAGGAACAATGTTATTCCATTTAATGCAATTTAAACATCCACTTTATTTTCTGTTAAAAATACTTTTTGAAATGCTTTTATACTCTCTCAGGTATTCTTGGAGAACAGGAAAACTCTCTTCTAGTTCCTTAAAATATCTAGATCATGTCATAAAACTGCCTGTGTTTAAAACATATTCCCATTTTATAAGAGTAAATTCACATTTTCCTTTTGAACAGGGAGCACCAATTAACAAATTATTGGTTTTTAGATGAAAATAAATTGATAGTATCTGTTTAGATGTATAGGTTCCTCAGCTTTTTAATATGAAAGCCCTTGTTTGGATGGGTGGTTTTCCTTTTTCTACTTCTGAAGACTTCGGGGCAGACTCTTTACTCCCAGAAAAATGTGCCTCTGACATCTTTTTTTTCCTCCAGTACCTCTTTTTCCAGGAGGCAAAGTCAGCACTGTAAGTCCCATGAGAGAATATACCACACTTTTAGAATAGTTTTCTAGATTTTAGCCCATCCATGCTCCCCAGCAGCTCTGTCTGTAAGCCTGTGAGTTTGAAGGGAGCAGTCCCCCCAGTCTGGGTCTGTGGCCGCTGCCTCTGCCTGTCTGCTCCCAGGTTCACTCTCTGCAAGCAGAGATTTTGAAAACACTAAAGCTTGTCATTCTGTATCTTGGGCACTGACAAACCCCAGAAAGGTGCCTATGCTTGTCTCACAACACAGAAGAGAAGGTGGAGTCACATAACGTGATACACACAAGGGAATGTTTTGTAATCCTTCCCTAATTTCACAACTGCTAAAACCAGTTTCAAACCTATCTTGAATTTAGCAAACACTTCAAGCTGAAATCACAAATTAAAATTCTATGAGTCTTTTGGTTTTCTTTTTGAAGCTTTTCCCTCATGAAAAGTGTAATTATTCTCACTTATGAAAAAGGTCAAGGATTGATGTGGGATTGAGTCTACCCTCAGCAAGTTCACTGACAACACCAAACTGTGTGGTGTGGTTGACACACTGGACCATCCAAAGGGACCTGGACAGGCTGGAGAGGGGGGCCCGTGCAAACCTCGTGAAGTTCAACAAGGCCAAGTGCAAGGTCCTGCCCGTGGGTCGGGGCAATCCCAAACACAGATACAGGCTGGGTGAGGAGTGGATTGAGGGC